TAAGATAAAATCAACCCTGATTGTCAAGTTGCTTTAGATTCTCTGTTGCTAAAGGTTGTGTTGTAACTTGCAACTTCTTCCCCTGTTATGAAACACAGGAGTATCTACCTCTGCAGAAGTCAACCAGGGTCATGAACGTTCTCTGAAGTTGCTCTGTTCAAAGAGGTGGGAGTGAAGTGAATGAAAGGAAGAGGCTTAAGGTGGGAAAAATTAATATTCCAAATTTGCCCTACCATGATCGGCCCGTTGATGTTGATCATAAATACTGGCTGTGTTCACATAATAAGCTTCATTGGGCCCATAGCATCCATAGAACATAGAAAAGTACCGGTTGGAAGACATCTTGGAGGCCTTCTAGTTGAAGGCTGGCTGAGGAATTCTGGGAGTTGAAGTCCACAAGTCTTAAAGTTTGTAAGGTTGGAGACCACTATTCTAGTTCAATCCGCTGCTCAAGTAGGAGACCCTATGCCAGTGATGGCAAATCTTTTTGTTGTTGTGCTGGCACCCACAATGCAATGCGCCCTGCCCCCCCTGCACATGCGTGCACAATACGCCTCCCCCATTACCTGCACTGTGCATGCGGCCAGCTGATTTTCAGCCCATTTTAGGCCGTTTTTACCCTCCCAAAGGCTCAAGGAAAGACTCTGGAGCCTGAAAATGGGCCCATTTTGACACTTCTGGTATTTTTTGGCCTCCCAAGGCTGCAGAGGCTTCCCTCAAACCTCCAGGAGGGCGGAAATGGCCTCAAACGGGCCAAAAATCAGCTGGGAGGTACACGCATGCGCAGTGCAGGTAAGTTTGGCTGGGGCTTGCGTGCCTGCACAAATGGCTCTGCGTGCCACCTGTGCCATTGGTTCGCCATCACGGCCCTATACTACTCCAGACACCTGTAATTTCTTGGCTTTGCCCTAGGTGCTTTGGAGAATAGCTTGCCTCCCTCTTCCCTGTGACAGCCCCTCAAATATTGGAAGACTGCTGTCATATCACATTAATCCTACTCCTTCTCTTTGTTAGACTAGTCCAGGGGTCGGCAACCCACAGCTCTGGAGCCGCATGTGGCTCTTTCATCCCTCTGCTGAGGCTCCCTGTGACCAGTCGGTAAAAGGAAAAAGGATGCTGAGCTAGGAGGAGACTCTATGGTGGGGGAACTGGACTTTTGGTCGGCTCCAGAATTGAACAAGGGCTTCTGGTTAGGACCTTTGGTGGCTCTTTGAGTGTTTAGCAGGCAGATTTAAATATCCAGGGGACCTTGAGTTTAACACCCCTGCAGTAAGGCATGCCCTTTACTGGTCATATTTTTGGACCAGCTGAAACTTCTAGGTGGCTTCATGTGAGATGTGTCTGGACATCCTTTATCCAGAGAGATGGGCAGTAAAACTCTGGCCTTCAAAGAATACCCTGGTTCTGAATTAGTGGAATAAAAACACAGAAGTGAGAAAAAAGAAGTTAAATATTGTATTCATTGGAATTTATAAATAGGACCTGATATTTTACAAGCAACATGGGTGTGGGGGAAGCATTATACAAGTAGTCCTTGACTTACAATCACAACAGGGCCACAAACTTTTATTGCTAAGTGAGACATTTGCTAAGTGAATTTTGCCGCATTTTATGACCTCTCCTGCCACAGTCGTTAAGGGAGCCGCTGCAATGTTACGTTAGCGACACAATTGTTAAATGGATCTGGTTTCCCTGTGGACTTTGCTTGTCAAAAGGTCGCAAAAGGGGAATCCCATGTCCCCCCAGGGGACACTGCGACCGTCCTAACTATGAGTCAGTTGCCAAGCATCTGAATTTTGGATCACGTGACCATGGGGAGGCTGCAACAGTTGTAAGGGTGAACCATGGCCATAACTCGCTTTATTTTTAAAGTGCTGTTTTAACTTTGAGCTGTCATTAAATGAAGCTGTTGTAACTTTGAGGACTACCTGCTTTCCTGCAATTGGATTCATCTCACCAGACTATGCCGGATAGACAAAACTAACAATAAAAGTCCCTCAGCCTTCGGGGAAAGGGTGAGGATGGCAGCGTGTTTGCTCCTTTTTTGTTTTGCTTTTTGTTTAAATGGCACTGGCGTTTTTCCCTGGCAAGATTTCCGAGCAAAACAATACAAGTTGGCTGGTTGGAGACGGCATTTCCTTGGGCTCAGTTCCTTCTATTGTCAACTGTTAACAGAATGGCCCTTTCCTTGTCCCTACGGATGCCTGGTATGAAATAGCTTCATGTGCACCAAAACACAAGGACTCCTCCTCCTCCTCCACAGAAGTAATGTAAAAATAATACATTCCCGTAATTACTGTACGCTGGATATTGCATTCATGTTCTAATTGTTGTGAACTACCCAGAGGCACATTTGATATACACATTTGATTAATAAAGTGTGTGCATCCCTCTCTCTCCTTCCCCCCTCCCTCTCTCCTCTCTCCCTCCTTCTTTCTCTCCTCCCTTTCTTTCCCTCTCTCCTTCCTTCTCTCCTCCCTTTTTCTCCCCCCTCCCTCTCCTCCCCTCCGTCCTCCTTTTTCCCTCTCCTCCCTCTTTCTTTCCCTCTCCCTCCCTCTCTTTCTTTCCCTCTCCCTCCC